CTACCCAAATCACATGATTTACTTGTAAATTAACTTAACTGTACAATAATGATAATTAACTATAAAAAGTCAAGTTCAAACAATACAAAATTTAACTGAAGTTAAAAAGTTAAAAAAAATTAATTAAATATTATGTATATTATTTAAAATATGTATCTATAAGCAAATGTAAATATATTATATAATATACTATATTTTTTGGGCTTATTTTCCGTGGGTTTTTTTTCCGTGGCCATTTTTTCCGCGATTCTTATAAAATAGTTTCAACTCGATAATCTATGATTATGGAACAAATGTAAAAAGGAACAAAGTTTAATTCCATCAGTGGAATAAGTTGACTTGAAAAAAAAAAATTGTGGATCAAAATGTAGTGATCCATTTTAGTGCACCAAATTTTATCATTGTTGTTATCAAATTTAAATCGTGGAATATTAACTATTACTATGCTCCAAGGTTGGCAAATTTCAAGCCCAACCAGTCGCTACCATACATTTGAATATTTAAATTTTCAGTATTTACAATATTATTTTATAATATTTTCTAAAATCACAATATTATAATCTATATTACTGTATTGGTTWTTTGTTCACTTTGAGATATTTGTACTAAACTACTGAAGTACCGTATTTGGTACTTGATTGCTGCAGAATAAAATGGTACATCACGTAACTTCGTAACACAGTKTTGAAAGGTTTTATATTATACTTGTATTGTTAGTAATGATTTTTAAATATATTTTTCTGTGACGAAATTTGATTCAAATGTCTTCAATGTTTGAAATAACCGATTTACAAAGTATGTGTAAATGCAGTTGTCTTATACAACATCGTATTATGTCTGAATAAAAACATTTCTTTTTTTTTTAACAGAAATCGGAGTCGGCTTAGCTGGTTTTGGAATATCGTTTCTATTCCTGGGAATGTTGTTGTTATTTGACAAAGGACTTTTAGCAATTGGAAATGTGAGTACCTAAAYAAATTTATATTAGATGATGACAATGTACTATCCTTAATATTGCTTATTTTAAAGTAAATTTGTGCTACTAAAATTATCTAATTTATTTCAATTAATTATTTATTTATTTAGATATTGTTCATAGTGGGCCTTAGTTGTGTTATTGGTGTACAACGAACTTTAAAGTTCTTTTTCCAGAGGCAAAAAATCAAAGCATCCTTGTCATTTTTTGGCGGGATATCAGTCGTCCTTTTTGGATGGCCAATTGTAGGAATGCTATTAGAAATATATGGATTCATACTTTTGTTCAGGTAAGTACCTAATTAGCTCTTTTGGCCAGAGKTGGATTTTCGATATTTTGAAATCTAACTGTTAATTTGCTTTTYAGTGGATTCTTTCCAGTAGCAATAAATTTTATGCGCCGTGTACCATTATTGGGAACTATACTCAATTTGCCTGGCATAACTGGAGTGAGTAATTAATAATTAAAAACAAAATTTTAATCAGGTGAGATTTAAATATTGCTTATTGATTTTTTTTTAGTTGTTAGATCGAGTGGCGGGTGATACAAGACGAACGATGGTATGAATAACCATTACAAATATTACAAACAAATAAATTACTTCAAAACATTTTGATATGTAATACTTTTTTATTCCAATATATATAATTTTTTTTTATGTAAATAAAAGTAGATTGTTGGAAAATGTATATGTAGTTAAACTTGCAATTTATTAAATAATTATATAATATTTATGAAAGTTGTGAAAAAAAATATATATATATTTTATTCATCTCATCTCTATTATAAGAGTATATTCTATACGTAATACTAGTAAAATGATTTAAATGATTTGTTTGAAACATTATTAAATTTTAAATTTTATTTTTAGGA